GTTCACCTTGCCTGTTTAATAGTCACCTTAAGAATGCGACATGTTTATTTTTTTCCAGGCCCAAGTATCTTAGCACAAACTTGTCCAGCCGAAGTGATTCCTGCCTAGAAACACCGATTCCACTGTGCCTCGTGCGCCGATTCCAGCGTTGGCCGAGGTTACAATGCTGTATTGAGTTGCTGCTTTGCTGCCTCCCAGTGGCAGAAAGTCTTCCAGCTGCTTGATGCCATGGTGGCGGCTGGGATGGCTGGCGTCTTGGCCAAAAGCATGTGCAACCTGATTCCCTCCTTGAATTGCAAGTCCGATTGTGGACTGCAGAGGATGGCATCATGTTCAAGTTCCCGATGTGCTTTGAGATTTCACTTGTTTTGGTTCGCAGGCACTCGTGAAAAAGCGGACCTTTCACCTGATCAGTTATACCAAGCACCATCAAGAACCCACGCCTCTTCTTGACCCGTGTCGCTTTCAGCCCAGGCTTCACGGCCTCTCGCTATGACCACCAGTCACAGGCTGGCAGTGCTCTGGAGCCTGGGCTGTGTTCAATCGTTGCAAGCGGGAAAGCATTCAACGAAACCTGGGCGAAGCCTTTCGACAGGCTCACCGAACTCAGCCCGGGCGGAACTTGGCTCCCCAAAGATTCAAGCTGCGCAACACCTGTGGCGCCAAGGACTGCTTCAAACACTCTGTGCTCGTCGCTTTGCTTCAGCGCTTCGCCCAGGAGATGAGTCAGGCTGCTTAGGAAGATCAGCAAAGAGCTTGTTACTTTAGGAGCAAAGGGTCTTCTCACCTTGCAAGAAGAAATGCTAAAGTCAGCATCCCATCGATAAGAGTTCTTCTGAGTGTTGTGCACATGTAGTCCACCTTCATTTGTATTGGCAAGCAGCAGGACCCTGCTCCTTTCACGTATGTGGACACGCATGCTGGGCGTGGTATCTATGAGCTGGCAGAAGATGTGTCTTGGATGTTCTTGGCATTTGTTTTGCTTTACTGAGACTGTTCTAGAGCTGCCATAGTATGCCGCCCAACTGTTTCGTATGCCTTGGAGCTTGAAGGTCCTTCTCTTCAAGGAGGCTCTTTAGATTTCCACCAAATAATGCTTGATTGTGTTTCATACAAATGCCTACCATCCACTGGTGCTGGTGCTGCTGGTGCTTTCATGTACTAAAACGTCTCGTTTTGTGGGGGGCCTTTGGGGCATCTCTCTTGGTTTGAAACACCTTTGTCTGGACAACCCTGGACGACCTCCAGGGAAACTTTCGGCATGGCATCACGCGGCTGGTCGCCAACAATACCTCTTCTTTCAGGCTCAGAATTGATCGTTTGTCGCAGGTCTCATTTTGCCAACAGATGTCAGACGGGAGATGGAGGGAGCAATTTGCTTGGAACATGACAGCATAGTCGTTGTCATGTGGTCCTTATTGTTGGATTTCCCAGCAAGACTTGTGCAACATGGCACCCTTCGCCCATTGCACTCTCAATATGAGATGCCCTCCTACTTGTAGTGGATATCCCGGGATGTCCCGAGTCCCGACATGTGCTCAAATTGTCCATCTATGGGATCTACAAGGATCTATGGTATATTCTCTCGAGCTTCTCTTCAATTAAAGGTGCAGGACAAGCCACACCTGGGGTTCTGTGTGACGTGCCGAATTTGAAGCACAGCAGGTGCGGGCCATTGGCAGAGTTTCTGGCAGTGCAGCAAAAGCTTTTCCAAGGAGAGCTGCTTTTGAGCCTTTGCATTGTAAGCGATGGAAGAAGGCAGACCTCAAGCTGAAGACGCAGGAGCCCCCCTTGCGAATCGCCAGTACATGGGCTCTGCTTGCTTGTCTTTGCTGTACTTGCGGCCACATGACGAGGTTTGGTTCCCGACTTTGTAAGGGTGACCTTGAGCACAACACTGCTTGTTGTTCTTTGCGAAAGAAATGGGTCCAAGTAGCTGGGCTGTTGGGGAAGTCCAGCACCTTCAGACATATCCAAAGAGCTTGATGGTTTGAGGCAGTTTGCTTCGAATACGCATCAGAGATGAAAAGTGAATTGGTGGCAGCCTCAGTGTCAACCATTTCAGAAGAAACAGTTACAAGACCGTGCAGCTGTTTTCCTAACAGCTCTACTTCTTCTCAGATCGTTTCTCCCTGCTTCTTCCAAGCTCCATCCATCTTCGCACCCAGTTCCGTTTCCGGCAACGGAATGTTCCGCTGATGCTTTTTGTGCTGAGGTTCAAAACTTCGACCGCATGAAGTCCGACTGTCATGGGCGAACCAGGGTCTTTCAGGAGACACGGCAGGTGTGAGAAAGGTGGCCAAGTCGGAATGGGAGTTTCCTGGAAATAAAGGAACACGACTGAGGAAAAGTTGTCAAAAGAGAAGCGGTAGAAGCCACAGCATACAGCCTGCGGTACGTTGATTGTCCTAAGCTGTCAAACAACTAGTGACTGAGTGGCTGGGAGGAGAACTCCTATTGGTGGCTGCTGCACCATTTGTCAGACGAAGCCTGGCCCGGCTATAACACTGTCTTCGACCACTGACCAAACCTTGCTCTTGAGCTTTTGGGAGCTTTGCATCAGAACAGAATCTGAAAGCCTTCCACAGTGCCTCTCACCTTCCACCTTGTTTTCGAAAGAACAAGAATCAGTCAGCTCAGCTTGGGATTTGCTGGGCCCCCCGAGGGCTTGACACGCCGTGGCTTGGTCTTCATGGATCCACCGTACGAGCCCTACGACGAATACATGGCCTGGAACTTGTACGTGATGAGGCCCAAAGCTGGGGTGAACTGCAACAAATGCTGTGTCTTGTGAGGTCGTTTGAACCAAGAATCTCACAGAGATGTGCACAATTCTTGCATCGTGAAGCAGCACTTTCTGATGCACAACAGTTCAAAATAGAGGAGTTCTGAGATGAGAAAAATGGAAGAGAAGTCCTCCAGAAAAACACGTCGTTCTTCTTTGTTCTGGACGAAAGACTTCGTGAAGAAACGGTGGCCTTTGGGGGTTCCTTGATCCAGAGGCACGTGTACCACGCCTGGCCTGGCTCATGCATCGCAGCGCCTCAGACTGCAGCAGCCAGGTTTCGCAGAAGGTGTCCTTTGATGTCATTATGAGCTGAAAGTGTTCAGCTCAGTGAGAAGCAATCTTGTGGTGTGATTATCCACATGTCAGGTGTGGTATCCATGCTTCACAGACGAGCAGACAGAGAGCTTTTACTTGCAACTGCAGCACCTGGAACCTCGTTGAATCTTTCATCCGTGCAACTTTCAATCGGGATGAGACGTCAAAACAATGGTGCTCAAAAGTTATGAAGAGATCGGAGATGGTATGTGGATCTATATCTTTGTGATTCTTCCGGAGTGTTTGTGTTTGTGTGTGTCAGGATCCATTCAACATGATTCAACATGTCCCATAGATTCATGTGATGGCTTTGTCTCTTCCAAATTACCACTTCCAGGTGGTCGTTGGGTTGTCATCAACCTCGTAGAAGCTTGTAGCCAGCGTAGCCTCGTTGGTTGCCCAGAAATCCTGCGCCTTGCGCTCTGAGGACGTCGGTGATGTTTTGATTGCTGACTTTGGCCTGCCCACCCAGGCGCGCCAGCTTTTGGCCCAACGCGCGGAATGAGCTTCAAAATGCTTCAAAATTGCTTGGACTTCCAGACTTCTAGAAGGTCTTGCATGGTCCAGGTGTTTGAGTTCCCAACGGTTCATCATATGAATCAAATGAATATTGTGGGTCTTATTTTGAGCCACGCTCCACATCATCCAAGTCTGGAGGAGCGTTCCTTGCAGCGCTCCGCCCTAGCCATCCTGCGACCTCCCAGCGAGAGTCGTGAGCAGCTGCTGGAGCTGCTGACCGAGCTGGGGCAGCTTATGGGAGGCAGGAGATGTGTGATCCTGCCAAGTGGAATCCAGGTCAAAAGTTGACTTGTGCATCGAATTTCCCACTGCGTGGGCTGCACCTTCTGACCTTTGCAAAGCACAACTTCCAGGTGCCGCCGTGAAAGTCTTTTGGCTCTCGGAATGGCTTGAGAGAAACTTGCAGAGCTGAGTGAGCACCCCTTCGCCAAAATTCACAACTCTAAATCGTCCATGCAAGCTGTCTGTTGAGAGTGTTGGTACTTGAAGTCTATGAAGTCAAAATGTACTCCATGTGTCTTAAAGCCTTTCTCGTTGGCTCATGGCCTTTGAGCCCTTCCGCAAACAATGGCCACCAGCAAAAACAGTAGCCAGACGCCCACTTAGTCACCAAGCAGTGTCTCTGGATAACACAACTTTTGATGAAGTAACAGGTTGCTTGCTTTGGAATGCCCAGGTCCTTTTGGACTGGGGGTTTTCGGATGAGTAAAGCTGCTCCTGTGAGAATCACTCACAGTAGAGCTGCATCAATTGTTTATATGAGCAAATAAACATGATTTCAAGCCTTGCATTCGAGCGCGGACAGATCACTCGTCCCCCAAAAGTCACCGTCTTGCGTGGTAAACCGGACTGTTGTGTGGAGCAGAATCATCCTCCCTTGTTTTGCTGGTGGGATGGCACCCTGGAACCAAGCAGTTGCTGGAGCTGAATGAACCACATCTCAGGGTGCTTCGATCTCCTGAGATCTCCTTTTCAATCAGTTTTGGAAAGCGAAGTGAAGGGTCGGTCTATCGTACATCGAAATACTTCCTGGTTTTGAGAAAGACAATCCTCTCAACCCTGTCGGGCTGCTTCTGTGTTTGTTTAGGACAGGTGAGCATTGTATAATGTATAAGATTTCAAATATGATACGCACGGCGCCCAGTGGCCAAAGGAAGATACGTCAAAAGCTGCAGGATTGTGAGTGTTGCAATCATCAAGATTTTTGTGTGTATGGAAATCGGGAGATTCCGAGCAAAAGTCATTTAAAACTCATTGGTTGGGGGGTCGCCCTTTCAATATTGGAAAATTCCTAATTCACCATATATTGGGTGTTTTTTGCATATGCTTGTTGCATCCGCCTTGCATCGATCTCAAATTGCTCGACAGCCTGCGTCAGGATCTTGAGCGCCCCAACCTCAGTCCGGATGGTCATGTGTTCATCATGTGTTCATTGCGCGTGAATTAGTTTAAGGGTGACGACAACCTGGCAAAGCAATCAAATTGACCTGGAATTTAATGGTCATTGTTTCTTTGAGAAGTTGTCCCTGCGGGGGAGCAACACAGACTCCGTTGCAAGTGGCTCTCGTGACTCTAGTGTTTCAAAGTAGTCACCTCCTGGTGCTCTTGACGTTGCCACTCTTGTTACTCGTAGCTGCAGAAAGGTGGTGTTTGATGTTTGATGTTTTTACACCTTATGTTCCTTTATCTTTGGAGCAGCAGCAAGGTGGGGAACACTCTTCATGGAATTGTAGTAACAAGAGTGCACCTGGCCAGATCCAAGAGCTTTTTGGGAGAGGGGGAAGGGCTTGGAGCACTGACTATTCCACGGAATCTGCACATGCGCAGCAAAACCAAAGGCTTGCTGATTGACTATCAAAACAGCTGGTAGCTGTTGCCCTTGCGGTGAAAGAGAGCAGGGTCCTTGTTTTTCTAGTGCAGTTCATGCAGGCAAAGATCCACTGGCAGAGATGGATTTGCAAAAAGTCCTGGCGCAGTACTTGGTAAACCAGGCTGACACGTTCGACATGTCGCACGAGTGGAACATTCATTCAGTTGCCAGATAGACTACGCATAATAGTGTGTGTGCGTATCTCTTCTCCGTGCTCCTTGTACATACAGAAGAGAACAGAAGAGCAAAGTCTTCACAGGAGCAAAATTACCAGTTTGCATCCACCCCACCCAGCCGTTACATTGATTGGCTTTGCTTCACTGTACGAAACACCAGTTGTCAACCGTCCCATCATGTACTATGAAGCATCTCTAAAAAGGAGAAAGAACGCAGAAATGACCTCCAAGCGTTCTGCAACATCAAGAGAAGTACAATGATGAGTAAGAGGCAATATGGCAATATGCGGTAAACCTTGTGCTGCTTAAAAGCAGCCAGAATCTGCACGGTGTCGCTTCTGCTCATAGCGTTCAGGAATGTCAAGATCCGGAACTTCGGCAGCGCATGATGCAAGCCATCCAAGAGGCCCACGGTTGGTGCTCGAGGCTTTTTTCCCTCGTAGGTTTGGGATTGGCACACGGGGCATCCTGCCTATGCTGCGTGTTTAAATGTGTTTAAGTAGTAAGTGAAAATCATTGAATCATTGGCGATGGTGCACCAACCATTCTATTTATATACATGTCATGTGTCATGTTATTGCTTAAGCATCGAGCGAAGAGATATTCAAGGAGAAAGACCGATCATACAGGTTCCAGACATCCAGTCCAAACATCATTTGAATTGTTTTGCTCCCTAAATCATCTCACACCTTGAGTTGATCCATCGCTCACGCATGCAGGCGAGCTCTTTGGTTAGCATGAGTGGAGGATATGCGCAGTAGATGGGACTTGGACTCCTTGTCGCATCTTGTCACATCTTGTCGCATCTACAAAAGGCTTTTTGGAGAAAGGGAGAGCTCAGCTTCATGATCTTCATGGCTGAGTCCCAGAGTTCTCGATGCGTCTCCCAAACGGGAACCTCGCCCAATCGGTGACCGATGAGACGAGCAAAATGGTGACCGAAGGACGGACCGAGCGGAATGTCTCCGTTTTCAGTCACAGACGCTGCAGACCACACCTTGGTGGATGATTGCCGGCACTTACAGGCAATGCAGGGATTAATGCCATGTTACAGTAAATGTTTGGGGGCGCCGAAGTCAGTCAGGCATATAAAAACCTGTGGGTGTCTTGTCATGCTCAGACCCGCTTTACGGGGAAAAGAGTTCATTGAAGGTCTGCAGCATGGTTGACCAAATGTGGACCACCGGACAGTAGCGGTCCGGACAGTACAGGTTTAGCGATCAACAAGATTCGCCAGACCCAGATAGCACGGGCACTTGGAACACCTTGGAACATCTTGTGCCCTTTGGCAGCGCCATGGGACAATCCATTGCAGTGGGCAGCCTAGCTGGCTTTGCTGGCCATGGGACAATCCGCAAGACTCACATGTGGCATGCTTGGCATGCATGTCCACTGAGTGGCGCCATTGTCGCAGCTTGTAGGGACCCAACCAAGTGGATGTTCCTACACTCCACAGGTAGGACATCCGGATGTCTCCCACTTCCCCTGAGCCGAGGCCTCCAGGTCTGCACCAGACGTGGAGCCGAGCAAGAAGGCCCTCCGGAGTGGGAGACGTCGGGTCTGCCGTTGACGGGAGAAACGTACAGAGCTGATCTGCCAGTTGGGCCAAAATGGGGAAAAACGTACAGGAGGATGTTCCGTTTCTGTATGATCTGTATATGTGTGTGTGTGTTCCTCGTTCTGAACTTTTGCCTTTTTGAAGAACTGCTTTTGTTACCTTTTAGGTATTGAACCCTTGCCAATTTCAACGGGTCTCCAACTCCAAAAAGTAGCTGCCAATTCCTTCATCAATTTCATCCGTGTTCCGTGTTCAAAACCTATTGTCTCTGGGTTCTGCGCAAACCCCTAGACAACCACAGTGCTCGGAACGCGTGGGCGCTGCGCCAAATAGCCAGGACCCGTGGCTCCCTCCAGGCTCCTATGCCATTGACCCGGCGAAGCCACATCGGAAGCCATCCAACTCCTGTATCTTGTTGCAGGAAAGCAGCAGACCAACGCGGTACTTGTACAAGAAGCTACTAGTAACAAGGGCATTTCTACTAGGAGCAAGAAGCTACTAGTAGTACAATCTAGGGGAATCGGGCAAATCTCCATGCAACGTGCATCCTTGGCCAAAACTGTGGCTTTGGAAGGAGCCCAGTATTGTCTTTAAACAGATAAGGCGATTGAATACCTAGCCAAGATTGATCTGCAAGCGTTAGTTTTTGCTGCTGTTCCTTTTGTTGGCATAGATTTATCTTAAGTGACAGTACAGGCATCCTGGGTTGCTGCCAAATGCCAGCACTGTATCAAGGGCTCAGCAGACATGGAGGAATCCACTACTTGTGGTTCCGGATGAATAGCTGCGCAATGGTGCCTGGTCCTAAGGGTCATTTCCTCGCTTTCGCAAGGCTCAGAACTGCATCTCACCTTCTGTGACAGCTCAGGTACTCGAATCCGTGAGGACGGGCAGGGGCGATGCTGTGGTCGCTGCGACGGTCTGTGGTGCTTTGAAGACTTCCATGATGTGCTTCAAGATGCATCGGCACGATGTCAGGATATGCTGCAATGCTACCAAGGCACGCGTTGCTACAAGGAAGGTGCAAGCTTTGAGGAGATGGGGGGAAGGTTGCTTGGGTTTGTTCGTGTAAGCACGAGTTCCCAGCTGGAAGCCTCATTTATATAGGTCATGTCAACTGCGCCGCATGCTCATTGAATCATCGCTGGTTTTGCACACGCTGCAACTTCACCAGCCGGTTAAATTAATCAATGGTAGTTTGATCGTAGTATCTACACCACCTGACACACAAAGTATCCCACCATTTACAGGTGAACAAAGCTTCACATCAATCATAGCAAGCGGGGGGCGCAATGATGTTTTGCAAAGACATAATGTTGGGTTGATGCCTAGACCAGACGTCCGTATTCTTAAAGACTTCTTGGAGCATAATATAGATGCACCCGGCTATTGCTTTGCACCGGTTCAGGTTGTCCAAACCTAAAAGAGAAACCCTCAAAGGATGTTGAATCCGCTTTTGAGTTCACGTAGCCTTTGGTTAAAGCGTCCGATTTTGGTTTTGTAACCAGAGACACACATGTGGTCGAGTGTCAAAAAGGACTTCTTCTTGGCCACCAGTTGGATCTCGTTTCATAATAAGTGTAAAAAAAAAAATATATATATATATAAAGAGAGAGAGAGAGAGTAGTTCTGCAAGAATGTGGCCACCAGTTTTACAACGGCTAAATGGCGGGTTACTCCACAGCCGGCAGGAGTGTTTGAACTCAAACGACCCGGAGTATGTCACACAAGATTGCATTTGGTTGCGGAAGGCGCCGTCACATGCGACCCGGTCAACTAGACAAGATGGCTTGTTTGGGTCGGCCGGAGGTGAAGGTAATTACATGGGTTATATAATGCATTCAGATCAACACAACAACAACAACAACAACAACAACAACAACAACAACAACAACAAACCAAGAGCAGCAGGAGCAGCAGCAACAACAACAACAACAGTTTCTATAGACCGAAGCCACCTCTAGGGACATCCAGACTGAGGAAGACAAAATGTGTCCTTCATACGCCAGGCAGCTGCCTAGGCCGTGGTAGATTCGCAGCGAATCGATTCTGCCCAAAACGGTCGACCTGACCCTTGCCCCCTGTGAGGGCTATGCCCAGTGCCGCCGGGACCTCATGAACAGGCGCAGAGCCCGCGTGCGAGCCGGCTGAAGGGTGCTGAAGGGTCCCAGAAACGGTCCAAAAAGGGTTGATCAGGGTTGGAGAGATTAGGGGTTTAGACTTCAAGGCAGACTGCTCCAAAACAGATATAAAACACAAATGCTGAAGTGTCAGCGAGTTTCTACTTTGCATCAGGCAGACTCGATTCGCCATTCGCCTTTGAGGCACCGGATTTGGCAGCGTGGCAATCGTTCTGCGTAGGGCGACCACGAAAAGAGCGCGCGGCGCAACGCAGCGAGGAAAATCGACGGAAAGAGCCCGGCATAGCTCAGCTCTTCGTTGTGTGACTTCGATGGAGGTCTTTCATGGAGTCTATTGCAGCGCACGTCTTTTGCTAGCGTTGTGCAACTTGTCTTTTTACCCAAGCTTTGTTCAATCAGTGCCGGTGTTACAAAAGAACATTGAGCAATGCGCTTGCAACCAAAGATGTTAGTAACTGAAGTAAATGCACTGACTCAGGGACCATTGAGGATCCAGTGGAAGCTTGGAACGATGTAGACAATATGTCCAGCATGGCATCGCAGGGCGTTGGCTGCAGAGCCATGGTGAAGACGTAGAACCGAACCTGATTGCTATGGAGGAAGAGCCGCCTCCGCCGCCTGTGCCGCCTGCTCCACCGCCGCCACCTCCACCACCATCAGAGGAGAAGGACCAACACGCCAGTCCAAAAAAGATGCTTAATCAAAGTTTCAGCCTCTCAAAGATCTTGTGCATGTTGTTCATTGATTATAGTATGAATCATTATGAACTAGTGTTGGTCTTTGATGGGTCAGAATTCATCAATCTTGAGTGAATCATTGCTTGTGTGATTTCTACTTCTTACTCTTTGCTTCGTCCGCATAGCGACTCACCTAGGAAAGCTGGTCAGGGCTTCGTGGTGAACACCAGCGACTGTGTGGGAAAATCCTCCAAAGACCTATTCTCCTATGTCGCAGCATCTCTGGGCTGCTCAGATTCAAGACTGTCTTTGAGACACTGTCTCTGAGGTTTGCAATTGTCACCCTCATGTAACATGTTGAAAAAAACAAGAAAAATAACGCAAGCTCCATGGAAAAGCGAGCATCCCAAATCAACACCTGGTGTGTTCATCCTAGTCAGGTTACCCCAACCTCCAGGCCTGCCCTTCTTGGACCAAGACAGCTGTCCAAGGCTGGAAAGAGGTGGATCTGCCCGATGCCAAAGTGCGACCCAGCATCTTTTGTGCTCCTCGCCCTCTCCAAACGACCGTTGGGTGCTTGATGAAGCCTTGTTGTGTTCCAGAGGGCTGATCTTTGGTCAAAGGTGTTTGTCAAATGTAACTTGCTAATGGTTCCTCATGTCATAGGATTTGGCAGGGATCCTTGCAAATTGAATGAGCACGCGGTCAACACTCAGTGAGCTTCCAGAGTGTTCGTTCTCATCAAGATTGAAATCTAGAGAATCAATCAATAAAGACCCAGACTGTTTGTTCAGGTACAGGTGACAAAACACCTCTGATAGTCAACATGAGCGTAGACACCCACCATCCAGGTCATGCAGAGTGCAGATTTGTTGAAGCGCTTACCCTTGAGCCCCCAGAGCTGGGCTTCTCGATATCTTGGAGCGCCGGATGTTTGTGACAAAGGCAACTTCGCGCGGATGCTGCGGGCGACCAGAAGCCTTTGCTGCTTGATTGAGCACAAGAGAATCGTGAGCACAAGGTAGTTTTGGAAAACGTGTGCTGCTTGTTGAAGAGCTGGACAAGATTGACTCCTGCCCCATGCTACAATAGATGATATATGTTATTCATGTTATTCAATGATATGTGTGAAAGGTAGTTGTTAAATGTTCAATCATTCAGGATGAAGGGCGGTTGTATAGATGTTCAGGGGCTATCTGAAAGATTCAGGACACAATGCTGATCTAGAAGATCAACGGCTACTTCAAGGGCTAGTAATTAGTTGGGATGGGAGTTGACACCAAGGCTCAGAAGACTACTTCTCCTTCTCGCCCAAAACCTGGGTCTTGCCGGAAGAGCTAACAGATTTGCGCAGTACCTTGGAGAAGTCCAAAGGAACTTTCATCGTGAAACCTGAAGATGGCTCTCAGGGAGAGTCTTGGCCAGGTCGAATTCTGCTATTGCTGTGTATTTCTTGTTTTCTGTTTTATGCATTCTCTTAAGAAAAAAAGACACTGGCCAGCCTCGCCTCTGAACTCTGTGTGCGGGTGTTGTCCTCCCTTTGTGTTCTTCTTCCCGTTCTCCTGCTGTTGTCCTCCTGCTGTCCTCTGGCCGTCTGGCGCCGCGCTGGCGACGGCAGCCATGGCCACGCCGTCCGTCTCTTTCTTTACCGCCTTGTCCGGGCCTTGTGCAGGTCTGTTTGTCCTGCTTGGCCGCGCCGTGGCTTTGTTTCGGCCTGTGCCTGCTTGGCCGTGCTTTTGTCCCGTTCTCTATCGCCTTGTCCGGGTGGATTTTCTTGTGGATACGAATGCAACAGTGATGGAGCGTTTCAAATTTGATATCATTCTTGGATTTGTCCAACATTGACATGCAAGGAATTGACGCAAAAATCCTGCTGAAACTGTTTAAAGTTTGGGGTCTATTCTGGTATACTGTAACTGTAACTTGTTTGGGAAGGCAGGTCGTGAGGTGAGGCGTGAAGAGGCAGAACAGGTACTAGTAGCATCCGGACGCGGTAGACGGTAGAGCAAGGGTGTTTGAAACGGTTCCAAGATCAAACCACATGATGCCATCCACAAATCACAAACCTTCTTCATGTTCAGTCTTCTGCTTTACCATGAGTACGTTGCCCGGAACTTCTTTGTCAACACCTGGCTGGGTTTCGGAACTCCCATACTGACATGAGCTAGGTGAAATTAACAAAATTGGTACATAGTCAATGAGTGGCCGTGGGATTTCCAAATGCAGGTGCTGCTCAAAAACGATGCTCTTCAGCCACACGGTAGGTTTTCACTGTCGGTCAGATCGGTCCCATCTTAGGATGGAATCTTTCTGGTGCGCGGCTTGAGAAACTTTGACGTCAAGATTTCAACACAAGCTCCCAAAGCTGTGGTCCAGAAGTACATCAGTAGCCTGGTTCACAGCAGACGTTTGGTCACTCTTTTTAATGTTGTTACGGTAGATTGAGAAGGGCTGAGTGCGTGTTTTTCTGCAACGTTTGGGTTCGGGTTCATCCCTTGGGCCAGTGCATGAAATTTCAGGCAAACCTTTGCTCTTGGGCAGCCTCAAGTTTGACTTGCGCATGTACGTCTTGGTGGCAGGGGGGTGCTCTGATTCTCCACCAGTGGTTCTCAGCTGGGCAGTCAGCATGTGTTCTCAAAGAATGAATTGTTTTAGGAGAAAGAAGAAGGTCCAGAGGCCTAAAGAAAAAGACAACAGACTTCCAACAAAAAAGCAAGTTTCTAAGAGAACCTGCCACTGTTACAACCTGCCACTGCGACCTTGGAGTCGGGGTTGGTGACCTAAGGTTCAGCTTTGTCGGGAAGGCCTCGCTCGCTTCTGCACAGAAGCCTATGAGTCTTGGCACCATGAGCACTCGCCTAAGGCTCTAAGGGGCAGGTTGATGATTCATTTTAGAGGGCGGTGAGGCATTAGGACGAGTTTTGCTCAGTCTATGGCATGGGTGATCATAGTTGATCTAAATCTGAAATGATGAAAACCCACTTTGGTTTTACATACTGTCACTGTCACAGGTTGACCTCATGATCATCCTCCATGTCAACAGATTGTAAGGTTGCAATTGGTTGATTTTGTTTGAGCAAATGGGAGCGGAAGCACACCTGCATATCATCACACTCCCAATAGACAAAAGAGGGTTTGCTAGAGCTGCGACCGTCGAGGAAGAGCCAAACCAGAAGAACATGCACCACTGTATGGGCCATTTGACCAACTACTCACTCAACAAGCGCAGACTCCAGGCTGCAATTGGAGTCGGCCTTTGCAGCCCTCGGACATGCATTATCATTCATTTAGATCCCTTTGCTAAGTCAGTGTTTCAAGGGACGGCGTAGTTTTTGAGGCACGCCCGATTTGGTTCATGCGTCCCAATCAAAGAAATTACCCAATCAATGAATGAAGAAAAATGAAGAAAATATTTGACCAATCAGAAAGGATAATCCCTACTAGTCCTCCAGTCTCCTGGTGGTCGTCGTCAGCCCATGTTTTTTCAATCAAACCTTCGCCAAGCTGGCCAACCAGCAGTACTTACAGTTGTGAACCGGCTGTGCAACGTCGACTTGCCGCCGCGGGTGGTGCAATACCATTGTGACTGGCATGCCGGGGAAGAGATGCAGCGCGTCTGCTTTCTTCCCAGTCACGGACGACTTGCTCAGTTCGTTGGAGCCCCAGATCGACCGAAGCAGCCAGCTTCCCTGATGAGACGGTAGAAAGATCAGAAAAGACTTGGCTGGTCTTATCCTGGAAGCAGTATTTAGCTTCACATTAAAGTCCGTCCGCTTCCATCTTGCAATGCAGCAGCTCATGCATTCCATGCTGCGCGCTCAGCCGGCATTTGTTGACATCCATTCCATTTGCTTCGCTTGTTCTCCCTGAGGCGCTGGGCGACCTCATGTAAATGAATGCTGATTGGTGGTCTGGACTTCCCCGCCTCCAGCACCGTCACAAGCTTCAGAGCTACATTGCAGAGATGCGTCAGCAATTGCCTGTTTTTGTTGCATTGCTGTCTTCGTTCATTCAAAATTGTCTTCGTCAACTGCACTGCGCCTTTCTGGGCTGCCCTCTTTCCGACGTTCCTGTAGAGCCTTTTCCTGATCCGCAAGTCTTGCACATGTCCACTTCTTTGACTGCGGATGGGTGATCTTCAGCTCGGCAGTATCACAGGACTGCAGCCTTTGACATACATTGCGAGCCAGCTGGAAACTTTGGGTACGGGACGCACCGTACTTTGGCCACACAATATGTCAAAGGCACAGGCCGCACTCCGTTGCGCTCGCAAGCCGATCTCTGGACTTGCCGTGCAACTGCAAGCGATGTTTGGCACAAAGGTCTTTCCAAACCTCATGGCACCCCTTCAGGCTGGAGGTTGTGGTGGAACAGATTCGCAGATTGATCTTGAGTCTTCGCGTTGTGTCTTGAGTCTTTGTGTGTTGTTGTTCTGCTTGCAGGTCTGCAGCTGCAAGGTGGAGTAGGACCTGCACCATCCTACCACCAAGCTGTTTGCTTGCCACGGCACATGCGAGCATGTCCGCATGGCTGCACAGTGGCCAAATCCCATTGGGCATGGCTGCCGTGTTGGAGCCCTACAGCCTGCTCCGGGCTGAAGGCGCTTCTGTCTCGTCTCGATCTCTTCTCTCTTTGGCCTTTGTTTGAGGCACAGCAGGTTGACGTTCGACTCCTTGCTTCTTGGGACTTGCCTACTCTGAAGGCATACTTCCGACATGTCCCTGGTGGGGCGACCATAAAGATTCTCTGCAGAATGCAAATCACAGGCGCTGTCGCTGTTGCCTGTGACTTGTTTCAACGCAATTCCCTTCTGCTCCAGGCCACGCTTGCTTCGATACCCGCCGAGGCGGTACAGTTGATTTAGTTCCCTGCCCACAATATTCAGATTGGTTCGGAACAGTAAGACCAAGCGCAAACCTTCAGTGCACCAACAAGCACACTGTCACTGGCTGTAAGATTCAGAGCATGCTTTCCAGCGACAGCAGTGTGAAGGGGAAGAGGCTGCAAGCTTCAACTGTACCTACTTGTATGGAAACGTTTGCATACACGTTCAGTGCTCGGTCAGGCTCCTTCGAAACTTCGCAGTCTAAGCAACTTGCTTGCTCCAGTTGTACAGGCTGCAAACTGCAAACGTTTGCTTACGTGTTCAGTGCAGGCTTTCGAGAGGCCCCTGTGACAACAACTTTGTCCCCCCATGCGGTCAAAGACACTTCCCAGGCTCCAGCTCGAAATGCTCGAAACCAGAGCCCACAACCTTTGTCAGGTTGACGATCTTGATAAAGGGCATCTATCTATAGTAGGAGCAAGGATGCTACTAGGGGCTCCTGGCCTTACTACTAGGAACAAGAAGCTACTAAGGGCGTCTATCTAATGCGTCCCTTGCTGCTTCCCACGCACGGTTGGGAGTCGGCCTTTTGCGCACAGCCCCGCCCCGCCCGCGCTGTGAAAATGATTGCTGCTCTTGCTTGCCCTTTCGAACAGCCACTCCAAAGTCGAAAGAATAGAAAAAGAATTGACAAGATACATAATAAAGTCTTTTCAAGCCAACCCAAGCCCTAGTACTACTGCTAGTACTCATTACTGCTGCTACTGCTGCTGCTGTAGTAGTGTTGCTACCTTGCACGGGGACTCAGGGACAGAAGATTTTTACACTGGTGAATTGTTTGTTGATGTTCCCGAATATTTCCTTGGTTGGACATATTCTTTTTTGATGGCTCACCCTTTGGTTCAGACCTGAGACTGCAAGTTTCAAGGCTGGACGCGTTTGGTTCACCTGTTTGTTGACACCCCTCTATTCAAACCAATCTTTGCCCTCCAAATGAGCCACATTAAGATGTCGTACTTGGAAAGCACTGCTTGATGTTCACCGGAGCTTAGGTGAAAAGTTCGAGCATTGTGGTCAATCCATGGCGGACGTGTTTGGGGATGAGAGCCTCGGATTTGAAACCGACTGTCGTTCTTTGGGTCGATGGATTGATTGGGAAATGAAAAATGAAAACTGCCAGAGCAGGTTTAGCAGATGATCTTCCTCACTGGGAATGGTTTGTCTATTTTGGCTCTTGGGAGGTTAGTCAAAAATACTTACATGCTGTTCTTTGAGCCTTACGGGCAGCTCCTGGCTCCTGGGGAAAGTCATTCACTAAAGTTCCAAAAACTTCAAGAAAACAGATAAAATCTCACAGTTCCTCATATCCACATGTTTGATTGAGTATTCCTTGTCGCTTGTTTCTCGCTTGCCGTCGGTGAGGAATACCTCCTCCAAGCGACCGCTGACCGTGTGCTTGAGACAACTCTCTCAGGAGCCAAAGTGCTGATTGCCTTGGGAGCGGGTGATGTGAAGGTTAGGGGGAAGCCGGTCAGTTGTCCAACTCCGCTGCTTGGAATCTGAGCGAAACGTGTACCTTCGAATCTGAGGGAATCTCAAGATGCCTAGCTGGGCCTAACTGAAAGAAACATGCAGACCACATTGGGATTGGGAGCTGAGTATGTCCTTCTACAAGGTTTGTATCTAGAGAGACCATGGACACCTGCTGTCTAGGAGTACCCAGATTTCAACCCAGATGCCTTCTACCATGATGTGCCTTGGCACAATGCGGGGGCTATTTGCAATAGCTGTAAACCTGCAGACAAACCTTCCGACCAGCTTACACTAAGACTCACAAATTGAACGATGTGCTACAGTATTTCACGGAAAAAGGGCTCCTGAATTGCTTCTGTTGTTTCGTTTCAAGCGATCTCCCCTGCAAGTGAGGCAAAGTAGACGGAATGTGTTGTATACTTTCGCATTAGCTGGGGACGGACATGTGTTTTCACAGACAGGTCTCTTTTTCTATTACCCTGTGCGTCCTTTGCTTTCTAATTAGACAACTCGTAGGAAATCCTCCATTAAACGTGGGCCCCTTTTCAATGACTTTTCAATGACGTCAAACGTCCAACGCCAAGAAGCCTCGCCCAAAGGGCATCTCCCTCTCTCAGGTCCAAGTCATCGCCCAGAGAAGCCTCGCTCTGATGGCGCCGGTCCTGCTGAGCGGCTCTCGGCCGGAAGCTGGGTCGGAGCGGCGTCTCTTCCAGGCGAAGAAAGCGATGCGGCGATGCCCTCGTTACTAGAAGCTAATGCACATGGATGTTCTTTTTTGTGGGGGAATGGTTGCAGATGTGTTGAGGAAGCATCTCGAAGTTGTGCGATCTTTGTTGATGTTGCTGGCACACGTAGCAGGACCTACCAAATCCAAGAGGCTCAAAACATCTACGGACTTACTCAAATCATGTCTCCAAATGCTAAGGGTGTCTTCAACATGTTGCAAACGCCGTTCCTCAGAAAGCCTGCAAATACCTGCTAGTTGTCTGCCAGCAGGCACTAAGAAATGCCACCAAAAGATCTCCTACCCACCTAGCAAAAGATGCCCCTCCCATTGGTAACAACAGGAGTTGGAACACCAGATTGGAAGAGCAGTTTTTCCGAAAAGATCCACCGGAACATACCGGAACCAAGCAATTGATTGTCACGGTTGGGGTGGATTGCAAGTGCTTGAAATATGTTGCCATAGTTTACAGGCAGGTGGTTGCTTCCTAGACTTTGTCTTCAACATCCAAGAAAACAAAGCATGTCCTGAGAACGCGAACTGTTCAGAGAGGCGATGTTGCACTTGAAAACCGAGAATGCTTTAAACTTTAAATAGTCTCGGTAGATCTTCGGCTTTGACATCATGCTGGACAACAAGTACAAAGCTTACTTACTTGAGGCCGATCTAGGGTGAGCAAGGGGGGACGCCTGTTACGTCGAATTAGTAGCTGCTAGATGTTGGATTTGTTTGAACATCTGAACCTTCAATTCATATCAATCACATTGAGCAAGACAATAAGGAGCATTTTCAAGCGGCCATCGCGTCATACCATGACAGTTGCTGGAGAGTCGCTTGTGGTGCAGAAGCATACTATCAAATTGTCCGCACAAACCTTGTTGGGTTCATCGTTTCTCAAAATCCTTTTTGAAGGCCCTGTCGAACTTAAGATCCTTCAAGTGGATCTGTCGAGGACAAGTGAACACCTGCTACAGTCGACCGGCCCTTGCAATGGCCCTTGCATGGCCCTGCCGATGACTCTTCAGGTCAACAACTCCCCGTCTCTTTGCATTGATGAAGCCTTGCCCGTGGATGGAAGAGCTTCCGAGCTGGATGGAAGAGCTTCGAAGACCCGAGAGAAGGACACCCGGCAGCGGCTGCACCGGCTTGTAAGGAATCCTCCGAAGTGATCCCGGTCAATTGTGCAGATACTGTGGAAAATGATTGGGTGAGTGTCCCAGAAGGTTGTGACATAACCGTGATTTATCAATTCGTACAGAAGCGACTTCAAAACACAGGGTCATGAAGAGTTCTTTTCTTTTACACATACCATGTGAGCGGCAACAGAACAGGAAGTAACTCTTGAGCTTCCCGGCTTTCTGAGGACAAGTTGTGCCACTGTGCCTCAGCTATAGTTGTTGTTTTTTCGTCGTCGTACAAAATATCTACTGCAGGCAAGAATGCAACTACTCCATTTTGTCAAAGACTCTGGTCTTCAACATGAAGGTGCAATACAACACGTAGATGCCATGGATCCTCAGCATCCCAAACATCGCCTTTAGCCTATTTACTTTACAAAATATCTCCAGAAGTTTCAGAATGAGGTGCCCCGATAAACACATCTCCTGGACCTTTTGCCGCTCAGAGCAGATCATCAGCCTTCGTTTTTGTGAGGTATGGATATGGCCCAGGTGCATTGGCACCAAACATCTTTGGTGGACTTGGAAATAAAATCAGCTCCTCGCACAAAGAATACGTTCGCTGTCACATGCACACTCTCTCAAGAAAAAGCTAGAGGCAGAGAACGGAGCAAGAGTATGGCAGCACAGGCTGATTTCGCTTTAATTGAGGTCATGATGCAAGGTGCCTTTCAAATTCTGGATCAGTTGCATCGCTGCGCTCCTTTAGCAGTTTCGAGCCTTGATGACAAACCTGGGTTGGGGATGGTTAGAGGAGGCGACAATTGTAAATGGGCGTTTGAATTTAAGCACAGATTCTGCATGCGGCCAGTTGGGGAGACAGAGATTGCCTATGATGCTGTAGCCACACTTCAAAAGCCGCAGTTGCTTCGGTATCGGAACCAAACAACACGGGACAAGGATGCATGAAGCCTTTAGCCCTCCACAGCTCCCAGTGACCAAGAGGGCTGTGATCTTTGGCCAAGGAGTTACATCCCCGTGCCTTTCGACGCAGAGCTTTGGCCTTTGTTGGCCCGTTTGGAGCAGCTCTACAGTCGATCGGGCGGCGTCAAGAGCTTCAGCAGTACTGCGCTGCGACGGATCTTCGAGCCGCTCTGTGGGGCGCAGCTTCAGAAGCACGACGCGAAGCTGCAGATCCGATCTGGGGAGAGTCGAGCGAGAGATGATTCGAGCGATCCGTCGCTGAGGATTCCTGTTTTTGAAGTAAGGATGCATGAAATTGGGTCATTAGCCGATTCAGAAACCAACCGATCAGGCGACTACGATTCAGAAACCAAAACAGCCGATTCAGAAACTACGATTCAGAAACCAAAATGGCCGATTCAGCAATTACGATTCAGAAACCAAAACAGTCCGATTCAGAAACCAAGCGGGTCCCGATTCAGAAACCAAAACAGCCAGTTTCGTTGCATATGGTGGTGGTTTCATACCATTTGGTGGTTGGGTTTGGAAGTTTGTTTCTGGTGTGGGTGATGGGCTGCAGCTGGTGTGGCCCAAATGTGCGAAGAAAGGAAACGTTATTTGTCAGGGCTGAAGAAACTTTCAGCTGAGTCTGAGCCATGTTTAAGTGTTTCCAAACATGCACCTCCAAAGGAGGAGCATAAAGAAACCAAACCTGGAAGGGCGAGTTCGCCACCAAAAAAAGGTGGAGCAGATGAGAGAAGATCTTTTTTGAAAGCTATAGCTGCTCAGAAGAAGTGTGCTTCAGGACCCTCATCTTCAGAGGGCGGTTCTGTGAGGGTTGTGGAGAGGGATGAGGCAGTGGCGTTCATTGACTTCAGTCTTTCATCCCTAGAGAGCTTTTTAGCCCGTGGGGCTCTGGCGCGTGGTGATGATGTGCAACACAAGATGAGGAAACGACCACATTATGACAACAGACTGCGTGCTTTGAACAAGAAATTTACATCAAGATTATCGTACCTTAGTTGAAACAGGTGCACATGTTTTGAATGTGGTTGGTTCTGTTGATAGGACGTCAGACACAAACAATATTTGATAGAGGTTGCACAGCCAAGGCTTCGCCAAAATGGCAAAAACTACAACAGGATTTCCAAATTGCTGGACCAAGCTTGCCATTGCGGCAAGGGTTGCTATGAGAGGTACCGTACATCCCAGGACGAGGTCTTTAAGTTCCTAAACCACTTTTGGAACATGAGCAAACTTCAACAAGATATGTATGTCGTGACCTCAATTCATTTCTTGGCAGAATGGCATGCGTTTGTTGATGGAAAATTGTGGATGTAGAAGACTGTGACGACCATGTAGCACACCAACTAAGTTGCATGAACAGCTGAGCGGAGCCCGCGGAGAGCAAAGAAGGCAGTGGAGATTTCTCAACAAGGCTACAACTCCTAGATGTTTGGCAGCATGTTTGGGCATCAACGAACGGAGGTTCAGCTTCACAGGACGAGTCGACCACAGATATAAATGCACTGGGGCAGTTTCTAGACACATTTGAATGTTCAGGCTGTGTGTGTGCGTGTGCTTCGCTTAGAGATTGTTTGATAACTACTACTTGGATTGGATTCAGGTTGCTTCAAGAGCTGCAGTTAAGTATATGGAGATTGACACGTTCATGCTGGACATGTATATTGAAGCTGGGGGACTTCTTCCTGATAAGTGTCTCAGAAACAACTTGCCAGTGAGCAATTGTGAGCCTTTTTCCAGGGTTTGCTATGGCCTGGGACTGAGGTTCCAGCGGCGTGGACAACAACGAAATGGTCGCCCCGCTGGGAAACCATTTTCAGCTGTGCTGGGTACAAATGCAATTGCTGCAGGCACGGTGTATCAAAAGCACTTGTGAGTTAGCTTCTAGGTTGCAACTTTGAGTGTTCTAGCTTCGTTGCCCTTTTGGTTGTTCTGCATCGATCCCTGAGATGACGCTGATGATGCATCTTCTGATGGTGGGCCAGACCATATGGGAGATCTGACCTATGGAAGAGAGCGCTTGGAGGATGATTCAGAGCTAAAATTACACTCGCTCTCCAATCAAAAGTTGTGGGCTCTGTTCCTGGGTTTGAAGATGTTTGAAGTGTGCACCATGAGTGTCATACAGCAGATTCAACCATTAGTACTCTGATTGGTTTAGAACATTTCATTTCTGAGGTATGTCGACACCAACAATTGTGATGATATTAGCCATTTGCCTTTTCGCAAGCTTCCACCGGGCACTGTCAAAATGTTATGGGTCCAGTCTGGTTTGAAGTGTTCGCTTCTTGTCCTGACTCAGCTTTGGTGACTGATGCTTTCACACAACTCCCCTTACTATGTGCAGCTTGATGGTGGGTTAGCTGAAGGTACAATCACTTCCAAAGACGGTTTCAGCAGAAGTGGTGCAAGGTGATGGGATTTGCCCAAATCACAGACCAGTTGGCCTGTGATGATTGCTTGGACTACAAAGAAGCATACCGGACTGCGAAGGAGTTTTGTAAGAGTCAGAAACAAGTCAGTTGGATATTGAAAGTCCACATGGAAATATGGTCATGTGAATGCGTGAGGATGTGCAAGGCAAATATGCAGCCATTCGTGCATATAAATCCCACATCGAGGGTGTAAAGAAGGACAGAGCCCTTGAGAGCTTTTACATGGTGCCTTGGACACACAAGCTATTGCAATGACAAACAATAAAGTATCATTGAGACAGGGTGTTGACTGTATCTGAGGGCCAAGATCCCTTTTGTGAAGGTGTCGACACATTGTGTGTTCATTGGGTTTCTCAGCTGCAGTTGGAAAGCACAAGTTGGAAAGCTTCTAAGCCATAACCTTTGAGAGTACGTCGTAGCAAGTTCTATGCGATAAGGATGGCATGGACCAATCGAAGTGGTGTGTACCACGTGCTCGTGGCCATGCCCAGTGCAAAGACTTTATGAAGTACCCTCGGCCAAGGTTGAAATTGCACGCAGTCTGGGTTCACCATGTAGGCCTATGGGCCTTCATGGTTGACCCCAGACGGTCAGCAGATGGATCACTGGTTGTTGAGGCAGCATCACGGGTGTGGTGAGAGAGATCTTCAAGAGAAACAACAAACCTCTCCCAGGTTCGCTGGTGTGTTATTCAGATAACACGGTAAGGGAAAACAAGAATACAACAGTGCTGGGCTGGTTATCAACCCTTACAGCTCGAGGAAAATTCCAGGCTACACAGCTTCTTTGTCACCGTGTGGGGCACTCACATGGCCCCTTAGATCAACTATTCGGGATCATAGGGACAGCAATGAAATACATTGATGTTATGGCGGATGGTGAAGATGCTGTTCAGAATCTAGGCCTGAGTTTAGCTCAATTTGCCAAGGATGTTTATTATATATTATATATATTTGGGGCTCTTGATGTTCGTCTCAAGTACCATGGGTTGCTCAATGGTCCTGGGTTCAAATCGCCCAACCCATGTCCATCAGGAAACTCTCCAGTGTGTTGAACAAGATCAACTTGCAACCTTTTCTTGGACACAGAGCGTGCATCAAAGTGCAGTACCTCTCTCGTGTGAGGGACTGGAAGAGCTGGCTCCTTGTCTGAAAAATCATTGATGTCATAACTGTGACTGCCATCCACAATTAGGAGCAACCTCAGCCCTCAATCCAATCCACAACAAGATGAAAGGTGAAAGCAAAACAGCAATGAGACACCTATGATCACTAATGCGTCCTAGTGCTTCAGGTTTGAACAATGCGCAATCCAATATCAAGGTGGTCTTCGAGATGACTCCACTGGTTTGCACTCGTTTTTGTGGATGAAGCGAAAAGGTAGGGGTGGGTGAAAGCATCACAGTGTCACAGTGACTCCTAGTTAACTGCAATATACTGCAATGTTTGCTCTAAACATGGCCATCATTCTTTAGCAGCATTCGGTGCGTCGGTGCGTCCCTCTCAGACATCCCGCCGAACATCAAGATCAATGGCTATGGACCTGCAGCAGCGGGTGTTCCATCACACCATGAAGATGTTGTTTGCTTGACAAAGCGCTACTGCAATGACTTTGAGCTGTGTCAGGAGAAGTGTTCTAAAAGTCTTGCTCATGTTATATTGCAACACTCATAAAGCAAACTGTGTGTCGTTTGGATTTTGGGTGTTTTTCATACGACTGCAGGTCCCCGTGCTGGCGTTTCCGTTCAGCTTTCTGAGCAGGTTGATGACCCCAGTTCCAAACACTGCTCGTCCATCCAAGCGCATCAATTTAGAGAGAAGAAAGCAGTGGGTTGATTTGGCTGATGCAATCTCCAAAAGAAACCCTACTGCAAGCACCTGGCGAACTGTACAGTTTTTGTTGATGCTAGCTAGGGATGATTTAGAATCAAACATAGATGCTTTTCCGTCATTTCCATGGCTTGAAGGGGCTGAGGTCACCCCTATGGTGGACACTGCCCAGGAGTCTCCATTGGGTAAATTCTGCCCTGCAATGCACTTCCGTGCGAAGCTCATACACGGATGAAAGAAGTTAGAAAATGTTAGGAACAGGTTGCCTGGCCTCATGGAAGTCGAGCTAGCTTTCTTCTCAGAGTACCTAGCCATCAGTCGAATGTCATAGACTTTTTGGCTTCTCAGCTCGGTAGAGTACTGAAAACATGGATCTGAGTATGGTGACCTAGTTGCATACAAACACGTTACGTTCAACTTCCAAACAAAACGTAGCTATCTCAAATTCAACATTTAGATTGAGAGTTCTCGCGTCTCCAGGTAGAACATGCTTCTGGGACAACATCCATTATGCCATCCTGCTCGGAGGAGGCTTCTATGAAAGGTACATCGGAAGCCTGTCGCATTCAGTTGAAGAGCTACCATGTGCTTAACCCTGACATTCTTAGCTGCCAACCCAGGAAGTTTCTGACTGTCCGCCTTCACCAGATTCCAACCCGTGGGTACTTTGGGTGAATTGGTTCTTTTTGAGACATGACATGACCTTTGCCCCTCCCCAAACAGAGTCTTCATAGCAAAAGCCTGAGGCGAACCCGCAAAGATTTATGGCGTGCGGAATCATCTCAATGGAGGAGTACCTCATGTTTATGGCGAAGATAGATTGCACCATCCACCAGGGTATTGCAATTTGGGAGAATTAGGGTTGATGTCAGTCACATCACCACCCCTGAAACCCTTCACCAACTCTTGGCTGAGCCTAGGCAGAAGA